AACAATGTGAGATTAATCTGCTCTTTTCTGTCAAAAAACTGAAATTTCTTTGTTGGAATATTTGAGACAAGTGTTAAAAATGCGAGTAAGTGAAAAGACCCATTGTTACCATGTCTTCACAGGAACCTGAAGGTCGAAAATAAAGGCAATGAAACCAGCTTTGAGATTTATTCTTCTCCTGGTCTTCGTTTTTTTAGATGGTAAGTAATAAGCGATAACAGGAAACAAATGTAACAAGTCTTTCGTGCCTAGACGTAAAAAATAGAAAAATAAATTAGCAGTTTGGATATTCTCAAAAGAAAAAATTTAAAATGCTTAACCTCCCACCGAGTTCATATTCCGCGGCATATGGAAACCTGTCAGCAACGAAAACACTTGTCATTTTAGATTGAATGATCCAAGAAACTACCAAACAATCCATTGTCTTCACTCGATCACTTTAATTCACATCAAATTTTTGGCGTGAAAGGAGACTGCTTCTTTGATAATCAAGATTCGAGCCGCAACAATGGCACCCAAACCTGCAATCAATAATAACATGATACTTAAAAAAAGAAAACAGTTTAAAGTACTTATGTATTAAACAAAGTCAAACTTCAATTCAAAATCGAAATATCTGAAAGCGGATGAGCCTGTCCCCATGATTAGGTTCCAAGGCTGTCCGATATTTGTGGCAATGATTTGAAAAACTAACGGAGAAACAACAACAACATGATATTAAGTGTAAATTCTGGGAGAAACGTATACTCGGGAAAAATCCGAGTCCTAGATGGGATTTAAACCCACGGCCCTCCCTGATCTAGTCGGATGCTCTAACCAGGTGAGTGAGTATACTATACTCACATAGAAGGTTGGTTGGACGCATCTCGATATGCCTTAATGTGACAGCGTGATGCTGTTAGTGAGTTCATATGTGCTAGATGTCTCAATGTGACAGCGCGATGCTGTTAGTGAGTTTATATATACGACTCAGTACGTGGCTGTGTAGCCGGGCGATGGGGTTCCAGTCGAAACCCACAATTTGACCCTTACTCACCATAGAGTCTCCAGTAGCTCAGTGGTTAGAGCATCCGACTAGATCACGGAGGGTCGCGGGTTTAAATCTCATCTTAGACTCGGATTTNCTGGAATGATATTTCGATTGCCTAACGAATTAAATATCAAATATGCCTTGAAGAGAAATGGTCGACGGTAGTTTCCCTACTTCATGTAAATGAAAATAGTGGTCTTATTTATCAACTCAGTTAATTTCCGTTCGTTTGTTCGCTTTGACAGCAAAATAACCCATTCACGTTTCAGATTGCCAAGTGACGGGACGTTGTGTTGGTGATTTTGCTAATGAGGTCACTACCAACTGGGCAGCTTGTCTGGTGGCTGAGAATAACGAGGAAGATGGAAATTGTCCTCATGGCTTTCCTAAAATTGAAAATGTGTATTGTGGGCGAGGCTGGGGGCATACTCGAGAGCCTGCTTTTAAAAACTTGGTTTGCTGCGTTGTTTCACCAGTCATCGACCTTAAGGTGAGCAAACATAACGAAAAACACGGGAGAGAGCCATATAAATAATGAAAGAAGAACCCGTGGGAGCCACGCTTTTAAGTTTGTAGTTCCTAAAGCAAAGAAAGATATTTTTCAGTTTTCTTTCTTCCCACGAACATTTAATGAATGGAACTCTCTTCCTGAAGATATTGTGAATACAACGTCCGTAGATAGTTTTAAATCAAAGTTAGTTAATAGTTATTAATATTCCATTGTATTAGTTTTATTTAGTTTTTTTAGTTTTTCTTGTTTTACTTTTTTTTAATTTTTTCATATCCCTTTGTATTATTTTTATTGAGATTTTTATAGTTCGTGTAATATCTCACGATTTTTACCGACTTAACTAAGCGTAGGTGTAGATGTAGATATTAGATCAGCCAACAATAAAGGGGTTTAAACGAGGAGAAAGGTCGGAAATGTTTCCAGCGATTCTCCTATTGAGGAAATCGAGCAAACAACAGGTTTCAAAATGTGGAATGTTATGTCCGAGAATTTACCGATCCTGCTCTTAGGACACGTGAACGAGATTTCAAATAATGCCCCGGACAAGCACCTTGTGTTGGCTTCTCATACACTCTTCAAAATAGCTGTAAAAAGCCATAATTGCTCGTTAAGAATAAGCATTTTTTGTTTTCATTCCTTTCTTGGTTAGTCATTAACGTTTGTGTCTATTTTACACACAATTTTGTGGAACCCTTAGAAGCGAGCGTCAAGCCAAGTGTCGTTTACAATAAAATATTGCATTGCACTGCACTGCATTGTGTATCATTGTCTTACACTGCATTGATTCTTTTTCTTTTTGCAGATCAAACAGTCTCCGTGTGTGGCAGGCAGTCATCCAAGTAACGACAAGATAAAAAAGAAAAGTCACGGTCATCATTAACGTCTCGACAAGAAGAATCCGTTTTTCAGCTTGTGTTCCCACCAGTATAGATAGACTAGAAAATTCCTTCGCGGAATCGAGTGCAAAGCAAAAGTAATCAATTATGGCGAATAAAAAGTTATGTTTTGTAAAAAGCCTTAAATGTATATGTGCATCTGAGATTTTACTTTGCAGCTGATCAAAGAAGAATTAGACATCATGATTTCCTATTTGCCAGGCTCGAAGTTGCAGCAGGCAAGGACGGGTGAGGTGAGGGCCCCGTAGGCTAAAAGAGTAAAATAAATGGCATATGAGCAAATGGAAGTCAAAATAGCGCCGCTCTATTCCCAACAACGGCGTTGTTTAGTTGCGTTTCTTACTTCGCCTGACGCGTTCTTAGAACGAGCCATACATGTATACATCATTTCTAGTCTCCATATTTTGCTGCCTTGTTTTCTCATGCTATTATTTTTTCTCTTACTTAAACAGTGACCTGTTTATTTAGGTTTGCTACTTCGGTTGGCGTGGCTTAAGAACGAGCTATGCATGCATGTATTGTTGGCTTGTTTTCTTTTGTCATTTCTTTCAATTCCCCACCCCATAGCAATGGCGTTTTCATTTGTGTTTGTTACTCTTCGTCTGGTGTGTTCTTTAGAACGCTCCATACATTCATACACGCATGTATCATTTGCCCTTTTCCTCAAATGTTTTTTTCCCCTTTCTGTATGTTAATATAATTGGTCTGCCGTGATTTTTTGAACGAAGTATATATTATTTGACTTTAACCCTTACTCGATGAGATAAAGTTTCACCTATGAAGCCAGTAGTACGATTCGTACGAATAGACCAGGGTCCTTCTTTAATGAGATGCATTTCGATTTGCAACAGTTTGGAAAAAAACAAACAAACATTCTTGAGTCCGAACTACTTTCAGATGAAAGCGTAAAGGAATTCACCGCGGATAAAAGACAAAACAAGGCAAGAAAACAAAGCGCGATCCGTACAGTTGTATGTTTCTTCGACGATTCTTGGAGAATGTGGAGAAATTAGACAAGTAACGTATCTTGTAGTAAACTAGAAAAATTGCTAAGCAATCTTGACATAAATGTTCGTAGAAAAGACAAACTGGAAGACGAACCTGATGGTTTAGAGCAGTCAACAGGAATTGGCCGCGGTTTAAAAACCACAAATCAACAAAACATTGCAAGAAAACAAAGTACGTTGCGTAAGTTTTTTGGAGGATTTTTGGAGAAGGTACAGATATTAGACAAGTAACAAACATATTCTGAAGTTGCGCTACAAAAATTACTAAGGGCCTGTCCAGACGGTAAATGTTTGGCGACCAAACATCATCAAACATTATTTGGTGACCAAACCGTGATGTTGATGTTGAAGTGAGTGGCCAAACGGTAAAAAGATGCTTGATCAAACACAGATTAAACTATGAATACAAGCCGCTGAACAAGCGTGGGACGCATGCGCGCGCCATACATGTTTGATATGGCTGTCCAAACGAACAAAACATCGCCCATCAAACACGAGAACAAAAGAAATGTTTTAAGTTGTTTGATCGAATGTTTGATGGCCTTCAATTTTTTTTCAAACACGACCAAACACGATCAAACACGATCAAACATCACCAAACAAGGTGGCCAGACGGTAAAATGTTTGGTCACCAAACAATGTTTGATGGTGTTTGGTCGCCAAACATTTCCCGTTTGGACAAGCCTTAAGCAATTTTGACATAAATGTCCAAAGAAATTGAAGACAAAAGGGAGCACGAAACTCATAGTTTAGAGCAGTCAACAGGAATTAACAAACATATCCCGTAGTAAGCTAGAAAAATATCTAAGCAATTTTGACATACACTTTCGTAGAAAAGACAAAAAGAGTACGAACCTGGTAGTTTAGTCCGTCAGCAATCACTCGGCCTCGGAACAAAGAGCTGCAAAACAGCGGTAGTTCACCTAAAATCGTTGCTTAGCTAGCTAAGCGGACAAAAAGTCCTCAAGTGCCTTCAAGATGATAGTTTCACTGTTACTTCCCATGTCCACAGAGGAAGCTTCCTCAATTAATGATTCTCAGCGGAAGAACACCATCAAGTTAACGAAGACTGCGCTTGCGAAACCACACGAGCTTTTCCTTCGCAGACCAGTACGCTGATTCTTACCGGTTCAAACAAAAACACTCGAGAAAACATGCTAGTTAGACGGCGAAACTTCGTTGTTTACAGTCTTTTGACGAAAAGATTTCTAACTCTTTCAAATGAAGCGTCAAGCGTGCTGTTTTTTTTTGTTTTGTTTTTTTTCTGACAGCTTTTTGACAACTTTCTGTCAGGTTTTTAGACACGCACATTCACTTGATCGGCTTCATTTTCCCTAGAGCTCGAGTTTCTGCTTTCAATAAAATTAAAGCTTTAAAAACATTTTTTTTATTCGGTAGACCCGTACACTATAAATGTACCAAAAGCAGCCAAAACATCCAAAAGCTGATTCTTACCAGTTCAAAAAAAAAAAAAACTCGACAATAACCAAAGTTAGACGGCGAACCTTGTCGTTTACAGTCTTTGGACGAAGATTTCTAACCTTTTTTAATGAAGCGAAAAACGCGCTAGTTGTTGACTTTTTCTTGACAGCTGTATGACAAATTTCTGTCAGATTTTGATACATACATATGCATTTGATCGGCTATTATCCTCTGAGATTCAATAATGTTTTTTTTCCCTCAAGTTTCCCTTTTTTGGCGGATTTTTTTCCCTCAAGCCTGAGTTTCTTCCTTCAATAAAATTAGGCATTTAGAACACAATGCCGATACCGCAAAAAGGTCAAAAGTTTCTTCTCCTGTTGTCTTTTATGTATATCTCGAGTGTGACTTTCCACATTGTCGTATATGGTTGTACATATACTCCTCACTGCAACCATACTTTTAATAATTTGGCAAGGCAAGATGGTGCAGTGGTCAGAACGCACGCCTAGCTCCCATCAATGTGGCCCGGTATCGATTCTGGCTCGGTGCCATACATGTGCTGAGTTTCCCAAATCTCTAAATTACAATTTAAGCAGAATAGAGGACGCACCTGGAAACCAGTTAAGACTGATGTAGCTTCCTCTCTAAATGTTGCAATTTTATTATTTCTTTGTCTATGTAAGTAACGTTTGAATATCACTGTTGGCTACTACCTTGGCAAGGCAAGTACCTTGATCTTCTCTTGATTTTTCTTAACAGGAGAAACTGGAAAGAAAGAAAGAAAGAAAGAAAGAAAAAACAAACAAACAAAAAAACGGCGGATTGAGAATGCTTCACATTTCGACAATGATCGATAGGCAACGTATTATGTGTCTTACGAAATATACTGAAGATTATGTTAGCCTTTGGAAGCAAATACTCCCTTTTTTCTGAAAGATTACGGTGGTACGTTTCTCTTGCAATGCAATTTCAGTGTTGCTGACTTGCCTAGCTGTCTTTCAAATTTCTATAAAGAATGTTTCGAAGTCTTGTCCAATTTGTATATGTAATAAGACTACATGCTGTTCAATTTGGAAATAATTGGATGAGAAAAATACCGAGGACTGCCAAATTGGACGAGGCCGTAGGCCGAGTCCAATTTGGGACAAGGCAAATATTTTATCCTCTAAAGTACAGTATTTCTCACTACGCTTCGCTCAGCACGTCACAGGTCAAACACTTTAACCCAGGTTTTTTACTTCTTTGAGTGTTCTTGTTCTGATTATTCTCCCTCATCTCGAGAAAATCAGTAGCATCTATCTCTGGAAACCTAGCTGAAGACTCCATTTGAAAGTTTAGACGTCAAAAAGGTGGAGAGAAAAGTCAGGAAATACCGCCATTATCAAAACATTCTGTCCCGCGAACAAACCTTAAATCGACTATTATGGAATAACCTATTCCTCCGCATTGGTGGTGAACCTATTTTCAACAAGACGCTCTTCTCAAAAGGTCTCATATCTCTTGCTAATATCTTAACAAATACTGGTACCCTTAAACCTTGGACCTTTTTTCAAGGCAGAAGGGCTAAATGTTAATGATCATTGGCTGCTGTTTGGTCCTTTCAATTCCCTTCCTCTCTCATGGAAAAAGCTCATCAAATCCAAAGATGACACTTCAGCTAACACTTCAGCTTACTCTCGGAATATCAAGCTCATTCACACTCTTTATTTAAAAGATGGTGCTCTTTTTCTTGATTCAATCACCTCCTCGAAATTGTATTGGAAACTTGTAGAAATTATTCAGGTCTATNGGTGGAGAGAAAAGTCGGGAAATTCCGCCATTATCAAAACATAAGAAAACTTAGCGAGCTACAATCGCTCAGTGACGTTTAATATGTAATGGCAGTGATAATAGCTGCAACCTAATTGGCCAATACTCGGTTCTTTTATTTATCTTGACATTTCATTGGTTGATGGAAAGTATCCAGATTTTTCTCAAATTGGACAGTTTGTTCAAAGCTAAACTGAACTTTCGAACAAAAACTATCCAATTTATTTTGAATTTGGACAGTTTGCAAAAATAAATAAAAAATAGGTCTGTTGGCAATATTGGATTTCGATGGAGCTATATAATTAGTTCTAAAAATAGTAAAATTGTCTCATATCATAGGTGCGCGCGGATCCTAAGACTTACGGTCTCCGTCCCCGATTATTGCTCCTACTATCATAATAATCGAAACTCTACGAGAACAGAACTTTAAACCTCCTAGTATATTTTTTACTGTTTTAGGAATATCAGTTGAAACATTAAAGCATTGCCGTGAAGAAGAATTAATGTGAAACAATCGCAGCCCTTACCTCCAATGCCGGTCATCTTGGGGTGATAGCACGTGCGCAGCCTTACCAAATAACATTTATCGCGCAAAAAGATCATTTCCTTCATGCACCGTGGTCACTTGGCAGGAGAATCGACATTTTGTACCTTTGTCCGTGTTTTATTCCCAGTCTGCAGTCGGTATGCCGCATTTAGTTCGCAGTCCGCGTTTTATACCTGAGCCCGTGTTTTATACCCAGTCCGTAGTCCGCAGTCCTGTTTTATGTCCTAGTCTAGATTGCTCAGGTCAAGAGTGGAAAATCAAAGTGCCTTATGAGAAAACTCGTGAAATTTCCAGTGGCTTTATGGTTGATAACTAGTTTACCTAAATGGTACAAAATGCTGCCGAAGGGAAGGAGTGTCAATGCAGAGCAGGGTTGTTCCCATACAGAACTCAGGGTCATCGGTAACAACTACAAACGAGTTTATTAAACTTCTCGGATTACAGCACTCAGCAGCGCATAAGCTTCATTACATTTTCAGAGCTCTCTTACGGACGAAATTCAGGCTCTTAAACTAGCACACCTGGAGTTTCCAGAATTAAATAATATTATTGCAAAGTTTCTAAATTAGATTATACGATACAATAGTTTGAAACGTCTTCTGTGATCTATTACTGAACAGACGCACGGCAACATGGAATCTATTTGTTAAATATTACATGAGAAATAGAACATCCCACAATCTTTAGATACAACACAACAACAGAATCTTCTGTCATCTTCAGTTTAAATTACAAAATACAGAGTTGAATATATAGTGTACGCAAAATGCTAATTGACTATAAGAACAAAAGGAAACATGACAATCAGTATTACAAGAAAGTTTTAAATTAACATGATAAAGTTGACGATTTAGTATAGGTTTTTCCCATTGAATATGAATAGCTTCTTTTATCCTAAGCTGGAAAGTGGTGGAAGCGTGATCTAAGATACTGAAACAGTCATTGGAGCATGAAGTGCGGCATTGCTGAGAATTTTGTAAGTTAAGTCTTTGAAAATGTGAGAAGTTCTATCACTGAACATGTGCTCACGTACGCGCGTGGAAAAATGCCGGGTGGTTTCGCCGACATAGCAGGCATCACAGCCCGCAAATAAAAACTTGTATACCACACCCGCACGGAGCCCACAAGGGATAGGATCTTTCA